TAAGTTGTTTATTTGATTGTTGAATTAAAGAATTATTTTCTATATCCCATTCAGCACCTTCTAAATGCAAGCCTTCGATTAATTAAATACCTTGCAAAGATTCATCGATATCATCTAAATTATCAATGAACATGTTTTGTTTTTGGTTTATTTTCAAGAAAAAATATATTCAAACCTATGTTTCGTCATTTTGTAACATGTGTATAAAATGTTACTTTATCTAGAGGTCATTGATTTTTTCGGGTGACGTACGTTTCGTCTCAACTCATTCCGAACTCCAGACATGTGTCCGGATGTCCGGAAATGAACGTTTGTCCTTAATAGTTAATGACCGAAGTTCGTAAATGTTTCTGTACAGGAGACCGTAATTGAAAAGCAGGAAAATCGGAATACTGCAACCGGATGTTCGGAACAAAATGTTAACTGCTGTATCTGATGTCGGACTGGAGATCGTAACGAGTAAGATCAGGTGTTCGGAATGCATGTCTAATGCTACTTTTTGGAGAAAAAGGTCGGAAGAATGTAATGACATTGACAGGATGTCCGTGAAAGAATTTACCGGAAGACCGTAACACATAGCAAGACTTCGTTTTGCTTTTATAGACACGACTAGGTGTCATTCAAAATAAAGAAAGAAATGAATAGAAGAAGAGAAAATACAATTCACAAAGAAGTACGTGTTTAATCATCAGAATCATCGGCTCTGCCATCCTTCTTTCTTCTTTTATCCTTCTTTCTTTGTTTCCGCCATTGATCATATTTCACACCAACTAATGTTGAAAGTGATATAAGGCAATCATCAAGTTCAATATCATTGACTTCTAATTTTTGATTTAATAAATTAATTTGTTGATTGATATTAATGACACCATTACGAATAGTTTTATTGATAGGCTTTGTTTTTCCACTCAATGATTGAAAATGTTTCATACGGACAGCAGTTTCTTCGGTGATTAAAAGTTCTATCAATGTCCAAATAGATAAATGACTTTGTTGTGCTCGTCGCTGTAATACTGCGTTGTAACCTAAATTAATAGAAAAAAAATCATTCTTTCAGTAGAGGCTATCATTATTTCCTGTCATTACTTTCAGACCAATTGTTTGTTTTGAAATCAACTTCGTAAAAACTAATCATTGATCGAATTTTCGGTCTCATCCATTGTTTTTGAAAATAAATCATAAATCTTTCTAATTGGACAGTAAACTGCTTTAGTTTCCTTGAATTCAAATATTGTTTGACTAATAATTCATAGGCATTGTCCATAATACTTGGTTTAAGTAATACAATGGCCATTACGTTTTTGACAAATAAATGTAGTTCATCATTGTTTTTGTAGTAAGTATATAACGGGTGGATCGAAAGTTTTCGCACAAAATGTTTGTTTATATCTGACCCACTTGAAAATATTTCAGACGAGTCGAAAACTATGGATTAGAACCAGAATTTTGTGTTCTTTCTGAA